GGAGGTAACTCGACCTATTATGGACAGATTGATATTGGTTGAATCTTTATTTGAGATTTTTCTCTAATCTGATCGATGTCTATGACGAGGTCCTATTGATCAGTCCTTCTAACATGTCATCACGCTAGTTGCGCCTATCTCGCCAACGTTACTTAAATGATGAAAAACGTTTTTATATAAATGCAAGATGCAAGAATTCAATCAAACGATTTTAGGAAACTAAATTAAAAAATAACTTTTAAATTAACTTAGACATTATAGTTTAATACAAGCAAGAGTTAACAATTCTATTAAAAAGAACAACTCCAAAAACTGCAACTACAGAGTTTCAATAGTTAGTAATTATCCTTATAAACAGGCTGCTTTTGACCCTGCTCTGCTTTTAATTGTTTCAATCATTTTTGAGATCAGTGGACGAATCATATCAATTATACTACAAAAATAAACAAAAACACTGACTACAACTAAGAAAATTATTTGACAATTTCTAATAACATATAAATAATGTAAAAAAGTCGAAGCTTTATTTTGGTTTAATTTGAAAACAATTCGAATTTGTGAAATTTAAACCGCCTATTAATGAATGTTCCGGAATTTGAGACATTTAATTTTTAGGGCGTTAAAGAGACAAAAGTTTATCTTGTTTTTCCCGAAATTAGTTTGTGAACAACATATCTGTATGTATGAACTCGCTTGCTTAATTTCACTGGTTCCAATTTCCATCGCAATAAAAACCTCACGAATTCATTAACTATTGATATAATCGTCGAAAGTGTAGGTACCGATTCATTTGTCATCAACAATACGTTGACATTTACATCCAACCCCGAACTCTCAGACATTAACAATCCAATATACGCGGCGTATTCCAAGTCGCCCTTTTAATGGGATGATAATTCGTGGGTACACCATGTAAAATTAGTTTTGAACGATCCACTCCGCTCCGGTTATGCACAAGGGTTGCGTCGATAATTAAGAACACTCCAGTAGTTCTAGTGTGTCCTCCGGTTCTCTTAATAGTTATTTGTCAACGAGCCGAAGATTTATTATGAGAATCGCGTATCTGCGGTTACAAAGCACAAAGCATTTAAATCGTATTCTGGCCACTTGAACTAATTTGCGCATATTTAATACCGTTTAACGTATGTCTGCCGCGAATAAATGCCATTTTATTATTAATTGTTAGGTGGCACTGAAACGACTCAGCAAAGGACTTCTTTAGCGTTTGTCCGGTTTCAGGTTAAATTTGCTTAAAGCGACACGTCGCAATCATCCAATTATCCTGCTTTTATTTTTAAAACGCGGATGTCGTTATATGACAAAACGGCTACTTTCAGCTGATCGTTAATGAAAAATTTTGGTACCCCCGACGCTTTTGCGGCATGAAACAGCAATCCGGAGATTCTTTGTCTTCCCCGCCACTTATCGGTTAAAAACGGGCTTTAAAATTTCGTATTTTTAAGGTTTCTATCGGATAGACGGATCGGCAAATTCTGCTTCGTCATTATTTAAACTTGGAAAAATTGTTCTCGGCGTCAAAAGTAAATACCCGTCTGAACAAAAACCCACAGTTGTTACGCTTTGTTAGGCAAAGTAAACGAGTCGGCCATAGCGAATTAGGAGAGGTATAGGCAAGGTAAAAATTTGGTCCGATAACGATAAAGAATGTTTTAAAGAATATCGGGAACTTATATTACCTAGCACGTAAAATTATATATTTTTTTGAAAACTAAAAATAATAGTTACGTTGATATAATTAACTTATGGAATTTCATGTTTAAACAAATCTCTTCACATGTGCTAAAAAAGTATACGAAATAGTTTGTCAATAACTTTATATTGCTATTTAAAATATAACATATCATATCATATCAAGTATCATATTGCGCATGGGATAGTTAACTAATTTGCGCATTGTGGATTGAAAAATTACTAATATTTCGCACCAAAATTTCTTTTCTCTTCAGTATATACACCGGGTATTTAAAACAACATTCCTCTACTTTATGGGGTACATAATATATTAAAAAATAACCTTACATTAGTACACAGAAAATGCCTGCCGAACGTACGATTCTATAAAACGGCTTCCAAAAAAGGTGTTTTTATTATTTGTGAAACCACAACTATCATTGATTGGGTCATAAAAGTTAAATGTTAATTGTTAATATCTTATTTATTATTATTAGGAATCTATCGGAAAAGTATATTTACCTTTCTTTTGCTTGTTTTTGTTTTTTACTAAACAATAAGTATTTAACAATTTTCTCTACTATACTTACTTTCATTGGATATTCTGTTCTACTCTCTAGCAATGTCAACTAGTTATCACATTAAACTATGTTTTCATCTGTCCATCTTTGCGCAATTTTTTGTTGTTCTTGTCTATTGAGTGTTTCATTTACAAAAACGTATTAAAACTAATTTTGCTGATAATTTATATCTAAATCTTGATTTGAATCTAAATGTTTCCACAGAACAATTTTCTTGTTAATCCAACCACCTTTGAATTTTTTAAACATCCAAGAATATACTGAATTTAGGTTAATTTTGGTTATTTTCATTAGATGTTTTATTTATATAAGCCTATTAGTATGAAGTTTGTAAGCCTAAATCTCGATTTTAATCTAAACTTGTGTGCAGAACAATTACGTCGATCGGAGCCAGTACAAGACCAATGGAACCCATTAATATCGACCGACAAACGCCAATTTCGACAACCGCAGATTCGACAACTAAATTGGTGATTTTTCCTAGATCCATTGTGTCGAAACTCACGAACGAATTTAATCCGAAATTAACCAGAAAAAATTCAATCCATTGTAGCGCCGCAACCTCACGAAATGTTACTAATAAATTTAATTAAACCGGCTTATAAAAGACCGAACATCTTGTATATGGTGTTCGAGCACAATAGTCTAATTTAATAACGGTTAATGCCAAATATCGAACGAAAGTTTGGGCATAAAGCCTGTGAAAGTATTTATGTACATATAATTTATTACACTTCTGATGTAGCCTATTTATCATTTAACGTACGATTGTCGAAAAAACTTTTAAAATATGTTGATACCCATCTACCAAAGTTATCGACAATGAATTTTTATTATATTTAAACTTATCGACCAACTCGCTATCCTTTACGACTTTGTGACTTTCCATTTTAACGACAGCAAAGATGATAGAATTTTAAACAGGAACGACCGTCTAAAAACACACAAAGTTTTGCCTTAAGCAAACATCAAATTACTATTTCTTCGTCGGTCGACGGACGCTGCCTGAAAAAAGAAACCAAAATGCGATAAAATGAATTGAAGCGTTTGACGATAAAATTTACCATGGCAAATCGCGAGAATCTTCTGTCCCAACCGGGACTCTAATAGTCTGCAGTGTCGGAATACAGGCGGACTTTTTTGTATAAACAAATACGTCTGTCAAAAATGTTATCATTTACTCATATTTCTATACTTAGAACACACTTGAAACAGTGACTAATGAGAAATACAAAAAGACTATTTTCATTATCAATAATATAGCCAAGACGATCTCCTTTTTTTTATTATTTGATTGGCAGAGAAGGAAATTTTTGTTACTGTCATTAATTTACTAAACACATGTACTGGTCTTTTCTGTATCAATAGTATATACGATTTTGGGTGCATTTAGCTTAGCATCAAGATCTTAAGAACATATTTTTCACAAACTCTTTTCTCTCAGCGCGTATTCCACAATCTTTTGTGGCCACTTTTTTAATTGTTAGTGTTTAATGGTTCATCTTTCATTTTAATGTTAAACAAATTAAAACAAAATCAACGAATATATGGTTACACATGGATAGGCTTTAATATAAAACCAGAAAGTGAAAATGAAAGTAGCTGTCCAAACCTACACTATACTTTTTTCGCATCGTGTTTTACAAATTGCAAAAAGTTTCTCAAAGGAAAACAAAAGTTCATTTTGTATTTCAGAATATACCAGCCACGCAACTCAGACCTCAAAAATTGCAAAATTGAATAAAAAATAAACGAAAATATCTTGAAACTTTGACACTCTGTAGAGTGGGAACGAATTGTTTGCAAACACCTCTTTATAAAAAGAAAGTTTCATTTCAATTTAATAAATAAGTCTTGATTTTGAATTTTAAATTATCCTAATGAAGTTTTACAATATAATCCAGCATACTTACATCAACAGAGATGCCACCATTAAGTACTCAGAATTAATTGTTTTAATCAAAACATTATCGTGGTGACCAAAGAAAGATAATAAAATAATCAAAAATCAATCAAAATCAATGGTACAATCTAACCGGGCGTAATAACAGCCCTTCTAAATTCGTCTGTGTACATTCTCTAACCTCTTGTCGCCGACCTAAATACACAGAAGATCTGATAACCCCAATGACAACATTGATAGTGTTTTGGTACCTCATTAATTGCCTGTCGACATGTAATACTTCGCTGTAAAATGGTTATTTATTGATTTTGGCAAGAATTTTCCAAATAAATGTGTATCTGAAAAAACAAACAACAAAAATTTCCTCTAAGTTTCCTTTTAAAATATATTTAGCAGTTTTTGATAACTCGGCCATAACTTTTGTTGGCTCGTAATACTCATTTAGATTCGAGTGGGCGTAAAAGCCAAATTTTTCAAGCAAAAATTCGTCCACCTACATTTGTTAATGACGTAACATAAAATTTTGGGAAAATGACTATTGGTTATGATTCTGCTATTCCAAATGAAAAATTTCAGGTCTGGTATGTCTAAGTGCGACAATATATTAGCCCTTCGTTTGTTGACGCTAACATATTTTACATAGCTTTATTTTCCTAATTCGGCACTGGTATTCTACTGCAAATAAAAGCCTTTATCGCTTTAAGATCGATATAAAAGGATAATCATGTCAACTGAGTATTAGATTCGGTTTCAAGCTCCTTTTTATTGCGTTTAAACAATGACTTTTTTAAAAATTTATGTTTATACCGTAATATTTGTTGCAGGACAAAATGGAAAAGACAGACGGCCGTTGGCCTAGAACTTCTCGCCGAAGCAGGCAACTACGCGGCTTTTCAAAGGCTGTACGGCGGCCCCCCTTACGGATGCTGGTATCCTCCACAGAACGCTGGGCCCACAGCCGCTCCAACGCCAGCGGACATTTATTACCGGCAAGCTGCCGCTGCCGCTGCTGCAACGTTACAAAAACCTCTACCGTACCGACTTTATCCTGCGGGTATAGGTTTGGGTATTCCGGGTCCAAGTGCACACTTATCAGCCGGTGGATTGTCAGCAGGCTCATTGGCAGCCAGTAGTTCCTTGAGTAACTTGTCGAGCTATTATTCGAATCCAACGTCAGACGGCCCGTCTCCAAGATCTCCAAGTCCAAACGTACCTCTCGATCCTGGATCGCCGGGATCACCGATCGAGAGGAGATCACCATCGGACGACGAAGACACTATTCACGTGTAACGACTATCCCGTCGACAGTGTTTCGAAATCGACCGTGGAAGTGGTAAGCGTGGATGATTTTGATCGAACAAAATGTTGAGTTAGCAGAAATAAGAGAGCGAAAATCGTTTTACCACTTCAGCGGCCGACTCTCTTTTACTATTGTGATATAAAGTTGTACTATAAAAACCTTTGTTAATTTATTTTCCGCTTTTAAGTGTTGTGTAGAATAAAAACGATGGATTTTTCGAGATGTAGAATATGAACATAATGTGTATGTGCTTTGTATATACAAAACGTTCCAAATAACGGCCGATGATGGTGGCCAGAGTTTCTGTAACATAGCGAGAAATGGACGTACGTAGCGAGTTTACAATTTTTATTTATATCACGCTAGGTAAAAGCTCCTGCGCGTGTATCCTCCATGAGTATGTTTATTCATGTTACAAATATAAAATAATGAATAAAAAAATTTAAGTTTTTATTACCATGTGGAATGTTTTATTTCAACTATGTCCATAGACCGACTATTCATAAACAGTAAATCTGATAACACCGAAAACAAAACCTTTATAATTATGGGTATTAAAATTTTTCTAGTCCATTCTGTAAAATACTCAATTATACACCAATCTGCGGAAAGTGTCATTTTACCATGTCAGTTTCGTTTCTCACGAATCCGAGTCACTTCGGACATTTTCGGGAAATTACCGCGTGGGTTGGTGAGCAGAACCGATATTTTTCAGAGATATTAGTATATTAATACTACTATATTAATTTTGACATTTGTAAATTCTGACGGTAATGTCAGTGAATCTGTTCGTGTTGATTTGCAAAAATATACCCAAAAACTAACGGTCGTACACTCCTTTATTAAGCACTGTCACGACCGCGTTCCACTCGTTTCAAATAAACTCATAGATCCAAAGTCCGATTACCACACTTGTTGCATAATATGCTATTAAGCACTCATTTACTTGCGCAAAATTAGTGTCACGTCAGAAACGATGACCACAGAGCCAATGTATTGTGAGAATGACTTTTCAAAGTCCTGTAATTTGCTGGTGAAATTATAGATTTTCCACATTGTATCTACAGCGTGCGGAAAGAATATTTTCCCTAACAGCGATTTGAAAGATCAGACACCCAAACCTAGTTGCTGATATATTGTACTTTGACAATCAAAATGTATTTTAATTTCCAATTTAGTGGAAGAGGTTCTAAATTGGTAGTCAAACTGGTCGCAGCGGAGAGCCAATTAGCAAAAAAATATTTTGGTCTCTATATTTTCGTTTGCTTTTTGCCGAAGCTTCTAAGGAAGGGATAGTTGGGTTTGGTGCATACAATGGGAGTATACAAATTTAAAAGTAGGGCACGCCTTACCGGATGAAATATCTATTTGATCAGATATAGCACGAGGTTGGATTAATTTTAGTGGAGGTAACATAGGGATCATTATCTCAGATTCTAAAAGTATTAAAAGATATTAATAAAATCGGTATCGTCATAAAGTCGAACCGCTTAACCTAGAAAGTTGAGAATAAATTAAGTTCATTAATTAATTCTCAAAATACAGGCGTTCAATTATCCTAGCAACCAAGAAATACCAACATAAAAAAGACGACATTGTCGAGGAGGTTGCCAGTGTTGTTGGTTTGATCATAAATCTGAGTTTTAGGGAATTCTTCTCAAAAGTGAAAAATAATTTATGAACGCTAGGAGTAGAATTAGAATTATCAGTTTTCTGCTTCTCCGTTTGCAATACGTCGCCTTAGGAGTGGCCATTGCTGCTCTTCTGCTCGTCTAGCCTACACTTGCCGGCGAATGCGAATATGGAGAATTGGGCCTTGTTAGCACAATTCCAAAAAAAAAACATTCCGTTGCATATTGACTCTTCATTTGATCATACCCGTCTAGATTTTACCTCTAAAACTATCTGATATTTTTTAAATGCTTGTGGTTTAAAGCTATAATTCGGTCATATGGAATACTTTAAGTAGGAAATTTGTTATGTTTTACCCAGTCAGATGGTTTCATCCAGAACCGCTTCACGGAGGCATCCCGCTTGGAAATAGAGAAATTATCACCATTTACCATATTGCTGCAGCAGCGGGGTCCATAAATTAAAATATGAAATAAAATTCTCTAATGCCATTTTCCAATAAACCACACACTGTGATGCAAAACTGTCACACTTGCACGCTGATTCACATTGTGTAAGTTTGTACATGTTTTGTTGGTTTATTGGTTTATTTTTCTGAATTACACTAATTTCAAAATATCTTTATATAGGTAGCCATAAAAAATATTTTCAGACTAAAACTGGCACTGCACTGACAAGTAGCTCTGAATGTTTTTTTTCTAAAGCTTCATTTCACATTTTTCACAGTGTGCGGATTGAAAATGTCACTTTCGGTACAATTTTAAAGGAACTTAAAATATACTAAGCTGTCCTCTAAAAATCATATAGCTGAAGTCAACTGTTCAAAAAGCTTATCGAAAAAATATTTTGCCAATCACCAAGTCATTTAAAGATCCTCATTGATTGTTGGTTCTTTATAATTGGTTGGTTAGAATTCGCTTGCGTTGTAATCGAACCTCAAAACATGAAGTATACCTGGAATTGAAAAATTTGTTTTTCTACCGGAACCTAAAAATAGTTATTCTTGAAAATGCTTAGAAATTACTTAATAAAACATTGAAAGAAGAGTAGAAGCAAAATTTTGAAAAGAATTTTAAAATTTTCTCAAAAACATTTCAACCAATCTTCGTTCATTCAGTTCGTTTTAGATTCGACGCTTTATAACGCTTGTATAAACAACTTTGTTCGATATAAATGCTGTTGCTGAGCTAAAACAAACAAAACACAATCCAGGTGAATATTCCCTTGCCAGTTAATAAACACGAGAGCATTCCGATAGTAAAACAATTTCAATCACGATATCCTCGTATATTAAAACGTGTCGGGTTTTTCAATAATGAAAACTAATATTTAAAACCAGTTTGTCAATTTCTTTTAACGTACGAACGGTTATTATTTCGCAGTTAATAAGGCGGAAATGATCTAAAAGGATATCGAGGCAATGCTTACATTATCCCGTATGCAAATACTCGAACAAAAAAAAAACAGAATAATATAATTCTAATAAGCAGTATTAAGTAGAACAAAAAATGGAAATTGTGTTCCTGTTGGATAAGTCAGGCGAAAATGTATTAAAAATTTTAATAGTTACTCAAACTGACACGTTGATATCCTTGGTATTTTAATCGTTGGTAAGCGGATCAATTAATGTTCAGCTAATAGAAACAATTAGCGCAATTTCTCCGTTATGCAAATTTATTATTTGCGATTAACTCGAAGTCGCTTTATTGGATAAGTAAATCGATTTAAGTGTTAGTTGGATTTTATACATGTTTGGCTTTGGGTTTAAGACTAGAAAATCCTACAAACCCAATTTATTAAGTGATGTTCCATGATAAAAATTTCATTTGATTTTTGACAAAATGGAAAAGAAATCGGTTTTTAGTATCAACTCAATGAAATCAATAATCAGACAAATTATGTTAGATATTATTTCGGACATTATAAAATAGTTCTAAAACATTTTTAGTCCCAACTTGATTGTATATAATACAACAAGTTTGATAAACTCCACTTTAGTGGCTAGTTTGATTTGACATAAGCGAAGAGCAGCGGGCCGACTGTTTAATAAACTGGTAAATGAAGAAAAATTCGGTAGATAAATTAGGGCAGCTTCGAAATATTTTAATAATAGGCCCATTGTAATATTTTCAATATTTTTATTTATGTACCTTTTATGTAACTTTTTAAAAATGTTTGTATAACTTACTTTGGAGTGCTTTTGGTCCGTAAGTTTCTATTCTAATAAAGTCATAATTAGTTTCAAAATAATATAAAATTTATGGGAAACGGGTCTATGTACACGCCCACCAAGTTTGGCTAACTTTCCACCAAACGATTTTTATTAGCATACTGCAATAATTGTTTTTTTATATGTTTAATTTATTTTATTGTGCTTTCCTCACTTTATAACTTTCATGCTAAACTCGCATCTATAGAAAAAATTATTTTGAAAATGGGTACATCTTAAAAGAATTTTATCCTGGTACATTTTTTCAAATTAAAATTTAAAAAATTTGCGAGTTTGTTTTGGTTCTAGTGGAGAGCAGCGAAAGGAGTATATAATAAATTAGAGTCTACTCCCTATTCCAAAACACAAAATTATGCATTCTTGCAAATACAGGAGTAGACATAGACATATCTTTATTTCCACCGACTTTTTACGAAGTAGAGGTGATGCCATTTGTGAAAATTTACAAAATCTTAGTAAATATTTACATAAAAGTATAACAATTACAAACAAAACAAAATAGGTATAGTATAATAGAAAATCTTTAGCAAATTATCTTTAAGCACACTTTTAATCTCAGTTTAAAAATTTAAATTCAAATTTTTTATTTAAAAAAAATACCCTAAAACCATATTGACCGCTTCTGCATTCAGAATAATCTGATATATTATTTTTAATATGCATATGGGAACTTTAATAACTTTGGATTATTGCTACGCATGAAAATCTATTTTAAAATCGGTTAGTTAGTCTTGTAAACGAGATTAAAAAGGGAAAATTATTCTATTTTTTATATTTTATAAAGATTTATTTCTTATAAAGATGCAAATACGCGATTGGTGGTGTATCATGTTTTGATTTGTAATAATAAATTGTTTTGTTTATTTTATTTTTGTTTAAAATTGAACAGAGCTCTACGGGCACAGAAGAAGTAGTGAGATTTTAAGTTGGTTTGACTGAATTACAAACAATGCAACTGTGTTTATCTCCCGTGAGTCGCACGTCTAATAATAATTGTTATTAGCGATGGCAACTGTATCCTACAAGCAATTGCTTATTCCTTTGTTCAAAGTAACCAATTAACGGCAATTGATGCGCATAATAAAAACAATTATTCAAATCGGCTCTGCGCGATTATTATAAAGCGACCTTATCTGATGTTTTAAAAGTTAAAAATATCAATGCGCTACAATAATTGTAGTTTTACGCACACTAACCTAGCGATACTAAACGAGCTCGTATAACGAGAGTTTTTTTTTTTGAATATTAAATTAACGATAATTAAGGGCTTATCTAAATTTCCATCTCCGCTTGCGTATTATAAATTTTTCGATAAGCGCCAAACAAAAAGATGGCTAATGTGTCTAGCAAAAGGCTCATTAGCATGTTTCTATGGTGTGAAAGCTATATCGGTAGCGCGGTTTTAATAAAAGGCCAGGTGTTGCGCACCACTTTGAGCACCTTAATACGAGTAATCCATCAGCGATATGATTCCGTGTCGGCTCAGTTTAATATGCCTTTGAATATGTTTTGACCAATTGAGGTCACTTTATACGAATCGTTTTTTAATG